TTCAGTAAAGCCAAACAAAACATATCCTTCAATTCCCATATCGATGCTGGGCCTCTTCCACCTTTTATACAGGTTGCACAGATGTAATCTTCTTAAAGATAGCTCAGTGGGGCTTTTTATTATTTTTTGGTTTTTTTGCCTTTTTTTTTTTTTTTCCATCCTAATGAACTCTCTTGAATATCTCATTTGAGAGATTATAATGGCTACTTATTATCCCATTTAAAATAAAATTCCCTGACAGTAGTTCATTTGGCCTTTCCTATCTTTGTGCTTGTGAGGTTGTCAAACCTGCCATTCCTCAGCTCCTGGAAAACACTCTGTGTGGCCAGATATGCAAGGACATGCTTCCTAACTCACTAATCTCTTGTCTCTTACTTATGCAAGGAATTGCCCTCCATGTTATAAATTGGATTTAAAGCTAAGATACTTCACCCATTGCTTTCTTTTGCCTGCTCTTCCTGTTCTCCCCCATGCCACCATGGTTCAGTGGTGCAGTGAGTACTGAGAAGAATGTGCAATATTGTAGGGGAACAAAATGTTTATGTGCCTGTGTGAAATAAATGTCTGTGGTATCTGCCTATGGGGAGGTGGTTTGGAATGCAGGATATCATCAATTCCAAAACTTTGCTGGTATGTTCAGGATGCAAATGGCCTTGATGAAGAATAGGAAAAGCCTGGGAGGTTTGGGTTAAAAATGGGGAGTCTGGAAGGAAAGTCTTAGAGGTCTCAAGCAACCCACTGAGCCCGGTGGTTGGAAGAACTAGCAGCTATGAACACTTTATCTTTTATTTCAGTGAATGTCTCCATAAAGCTACCGTAACCCTTTGAGGTAGGAATGTGTCCTGCTTGGATTGTGGGTGAGTGCCCATCCTTCCAGTAGATTGCACCGGTCATCTCAGTGCAAAATAAAGCATTGACCAGCTTGAGTGAAGCTCCTTTCAGTGAGAAGGGAGAGAAGATATTACAGATGGCAAGGGAGGGAGTAAAGGGAGGAAGGAAAGGAAGGACTGCTGGAAGAAGCACAGAGGCACAGACGTAGTTATTCTTACAACACAGGGCTTCCTGTGAGGTCTCTTCATGCTTCATAATTCTTTAATGCTTTTGCTTGTCTGTGAAAATCTGGATTTTTGTATATTGATTTCCGATTTGGACTTTACTATGCTTCACAGTACATGATTTTTTCCAGTTTCTGACCTCTTCTGCTTCTTACAACCCTAGTGTTGCTTTGGTATCCTTGTACAATCTGAAGCATCTTAAATGTTCTGTGATGATTTTCTTCCTGTTGAATTATTGGTTTTCCTGACTTTATCCTTCCCCCAAGTCCCTATGTTTCCACAGGTTTTTTCCTCCCCACTTCCAAATAAAACAGATCTAGGTTTCAAAAAGACTTGTTTATTGTTATGAAGTGCTAATCGACTTTGAGTCCGACAACAGCAGAGAAATTATATATCATAAATATTAAAACTGTGGTAATTTTATTTTATTTTATTTTTACTGTTCCACTCAAATTAGAGTACACATTCTGATAACACAAACTAATGAACTTTAATTTGCTTTAACTTCCAGATTGCACCTCTTTGGCAAGATGGCTCGTTTTTGTGCACTTACTGCATTTCTTTTTTTTTCTCATAGTGAATGAGAATTGGAAATGTCAACTATGTAACCTATAAGGGAAGAACTCCCTGTAATCTGTATGAGATGCAGTCCACTGACTGCACAGCAGCTAGGACGTAAATGGCTTTCTGAAACAGCTAGAAATGAAAGGAGTTCTGAACTTATGGGCAGATATAAAAAAAAAAGGGGGGGGGGGCTAAACTTTTGGAGGATATAACCTCACAGCTCAGAGTAGGATTTAGACATGATATTTCCGTATATAAATGATAAAATCAGTAAAGCATTGATCTCATAAATAGGACTCATAATAAAAATTATGAGTAACAGGCCCTTATATGTATGGTACTTAGGTATCATAATTATGAGTTAAAGCTTTTAACAGAAAACTACTGTCCAACTGGTCAGAATAATCCACAGCGGAAAGGGGCAGAAGTCTTTAAGCTTCAGGAGATGTTGAAAGAGATGGTAAATGAAATTCAATTACCTAAAGCTTTTATGTGTCATGGAGGATTTAGGGATATATTATATCTAAGATATAAGCCTTGTGTTGCATGTGATCTGTACTGCTATGAGTCACCTTAAACACCACCTTTGCTGCATTCAAGAGTCTTTGTAGTGTCCAGGAGAAATGAATGGGGGTTGTCCCTACAATTGCTTATCTGGAAAAATGTCAAGAATAAGGACCTTAAACATATTCTGTTACTGTGTTTTTTCATCTCAGATGAGCCTGCCTGCTTATGCAAATTCTCTTACTTTGCTGTAATACTCTTTTAACCATTTCTGCCACCACCCCTCAAAGGCTCAGACCTCCTGATGGAATATTTCCCTCTTAACAGAGTTCATTCAGACTCCAGCACCATCTAAGTTTGCTTTCAAAGTGGTACATTGTAGAGGCAAAGATTCTTTCCTTATTTCATGTATGTGCTGAAGTACAAAGATAGAGCTGCAGAATACTCAGGCTTACTGTACGTAAGTAAGGTGGTTACTCCATTTTGTTGTTTGGTATTTATTGTGGCCAGAAGGAGTTCTGGTCATAGATCATTACCAACTGGGAAAAAAAATGAGACATTTCCACTTTCAGTTGTTTAGAATCTTCCTAGATTTTAATTTTTCAAAGTGAAAACATTCATATGTATCCTTCAGGAGAATTCTTTGCTTGTTATTGAAAGATATAGAAAAGATGGTATGGTTGTTTTCAAGCTTACAAGAATATGCTATTTTTCCTATACTAAAAGTTTCTAATTTGTCTTTCTGAAAGCTTGTAGTATATATTTATTTTGAAACAGATGCTTGAATTAGGTAACAAGGTCTCAGTTGTACTTAACGCCTGTATTTAATTGAAAAACCACTCCCAATCTAACGAAGTTGCAAACCATTGAAGGGTTTTAGTTTGAGTATGTTTAGTAGAGACTTGTTAGAGGCTAGAAACTGTGTTCAAACAGAAGCAATGGATTTCAGGAATTCAGAGCATTGGTAAGTGGGTTCTCCTGTATGGCTAGTCTAAGCAAAACAGGTGTTCAAAAAAAAAAAAAAAGGTTGCCAGTTCCTTAAATAAATTATATTATAGACAATGGTGGAAAAATGTGTTTTGAGGAAAGGCAGCAAATTAGTTCAGGCTAATTCATGATTTCACATGGGATATCAGATGCAAAAATGGAAGGTGCAAGCAGAGGAGGCAGGGCCAGTCTGATAAGGGTAAATTCCAAAATAGATTGTAGTCATCCAGGAAAACCTGAGGTATGGAACATAATTCTTCAAACAAAATAGCATGTTGGTTAATTTTTTATTATTATTCTTTTGCCTTTGTTGGCAATAAGGTAAAGAGGAAAGGTGTTATCAGTGGTCAGTACAGTAGGGAAGCTGTCAACAAGTGATGCTCAGTAGGTCTGTGTTTTTAATTCTATGTGATTCATAGCAGTAGTAACATAAGGCAGAGACCATAGTATGTAATTGGGAAAGAAGAAGCGATGAAAAAGCATGAGGAATTTCATCATGGTGTAATTAAAGCTCACTAATGAAATAAGAGTTGTTGGCAGTTATTGTCAAAATTTTGTGACAGATGTATACTATATTGGAAGAATTTGAAAAATGTGAGAATGGGAAGAAAGGAGGGGCCAGGAATTTCTAGACAAATTCTGTTCAAGTTGTGGGAAAAATCCAAATTTAGTTGTTCTGAACTTAAGCATTTGTATGTCTGTAAACAAAGGGATGGAAAACAGTCAACTTAACTTGATAAGAACAGACTGACCAACCAAACTAATTTTCTTTTAAAGTACAGAAATGGGTTTTGTTTAGTCCTGCACTTTGAATCCAGTTATACTTTTGACAGTGTTCCATTCACATTTTCCTGAGAGAAATATAAGTGGTTTAGATGAAAATAATGTAGGATGCAGATCTGTTTGGAAAACTGCTATAAGGGGAGCTATTTTGGTATGTGGCTATTTGAATACTTTGAATGAAATCAAGTTATTTTCTGGACCCTATTGTTGCTGGCATTTTCATTAATTGTCTAGCTAATGGAATTGTTAAATTGCATATTTTATGAATCTGACCATCTCCTAGCATTTTGGAGATTGTTTCAACTTCAAAATAGTATAGATATTAGAGGAGTGGCCTGTCAAAAATAGGATGACGTTCAAGAGGATCAAGTGCAGAGTATCATACGTATGCAGGTGTGGAAGGAATACACATTGAAGAAGGGAAATAGTTGATAAGGTAACTATTCTAATTCAGAAAGGACCAGTGAGTTACTGTAGGTCACAATTTATGTAGGAGTCAACAACATGCTTCTGTGGGCCACAAATTTCAGCAAGGATGAGATCTTAATGGAAGTATCTAGGTTTCATACTAGAGGATTCAGTTTGAGAGTGTTGACGGCTGGGGGGCCTCTAGAGAAGGAGGATAGAAAATTAACAGCATACTAGAAAACATGACCTACAAGTAAAGCTGAAAAAGGGCCTGGGAACTGCAGAGGGCTTTGAGGGTATCTTGGAGGAAAGTGTTTTTCTCTGATGTGCTGCACTTTAAAACAATACATTAGTATGGAAAAGAATTTAGAATGCTTTGGCTAAAGGACAATATTATTAGTTATAGAAATTTAAAATAGTTTTTTGGATTGTTATTTAAGATGCTTGTGTAATGAGGGCTCCCACAGTTTTTCTTTCAAAGCATGCAAACAAGTTTTTTGGGGGACAGCGGGTTCTGTTGTTAGTTTGTATGCAGTGTTCCTGCACGGATGCCGTGGAGGATATGGGATACCCTCCCACTCCTTGCCCTTTAGAAATAAGTTATGAAAAAACAGTAGGTTTGTGAAAGCTTTATGTTGATGTTTAGATAGAGATGTTTTTCAAAGAAGGAAGTAATTATCTTTTTTGTTCCTATGACAGGACCAATACACGTATAAAAGCATGATAGCCTACCAAATTTGAATCCATGGTTTCTATCAAGGATCAGGTATCATCTATTATCAGCAGCTGATGTCAGTATCAGAAAGCTCCTGTTGGAAGGTAGGATAATTGTATTTTGAAAGTACTTATACTTTCTTAGCTGCTGCAGTTGTACGGTGCCGATGACATTCTGTACGTTGTTGCTGGGGATTTTTTGTAGTTCACTTATGTTTCATAGCATAGCATGTGTGGAGACAGACCCCTACGTGTAAGCTGGACTAGCTGAAACACAGGTTTCTCTCGGTATGTCCTCTTTTTCTATAAGGAAAATTTGAATGATCAGAACCAGAAAACTGACTGATATTTGGAAATCTTAGTCCGTGGGATAATCCTTACATATAAATTAGACTACTCAGAAGCATTAGATCCATTTGTGTTCTCTGCATGCTTTGTGTCCAGTTTTTCATGTGTGGGGTTTCATGGGCAGAAATGTCCAAACTTGACTGAGCAATTCAGAATAGCTACCGCATCTTCCTTCATGTTCTCCTACCAGCACTTCTGTAAAGTTGTATCAATTTCAGTAGAACTTCTTATTAGAACAAAAAGCTTCTTAATGCAACAATGAATGCTTGTATATTCAGTGTTACTTTATTCTCTCATTCACAGAATAAGAGAACGTTTTTAGAAAACAAAATCTAATTAATCTAAGCGTATGGCATGCCTGTTAAAATTCACCTGTCCTGGAATGTCCATTTATCATAATTATGACTGAACAACCAAACAGAGAAAGGTGCTGCTTCTTCATTTGATGCAAAATGATGATTTATTACCCTGTGTTTTTTTTTAGTAATGGTTAAATCTAATGGACATTTCTGCATGACAATTCATCCTCAGAGTAAAATTAGACATGTTGTTCTTTCATGTAGAACATTTCACAGCAATTTATGGAATACAGAAATCTTGTGTCATTAAGTGATTACCACAGCCTGGCTGCATATATCAATTTAAAGAGCACATGTACATATTAATGTTTTAATACAATATAGGCTCTTGTTTGTAAAATAATTTTAAATATTTTAATTGTAGCTTGCAAACTGATCAGGTCCATTTTCCTTCATTTTCATAAATTGTCACAGATCTGAAAAATACTTACCATGATGAAAAATTCTACTCTTCTTCATCTATTGTGTGTACATAATAGGAGTAACATAAATGTTAATAAGGTACAAGTACACCATAGGAAAAAGAGCAGTAGGATATGTACATGTTCCATCTTTATACACTTGTTCCATCTTTAATTAGATCATTCTATATCTAGTAATAGTACTTCCCAACTGAGGAAAGTTATGGAGTGAAGTTCAGTCTATTAACTGAGCCTTGTGTGTATATTTTGTCTTCTGGAGTGCAAATACTATATCAAAGCATACTATGCATATATACATAATACTAATTTATGTCAAAGCATACTGTCTTACAAATCCTCTGGAATTAAGATTTGCAAGACATAGTGTGCTTTGACATCTGTAATAGAACACTTTTTAAAATTAACTTTTTAGGAAGAGAGATTCCACCTAATCATTTGCTTCCAGGCAGCTCTTCACAGAGATCCTTCTGAGTAATCTCTCAGTACAGTCAGCTACCAGGTTAGGGTATTGATGCTACTCCCCTAACACTGCAACAGAAGCTCTGTGGGTTTCATAAAGGAGATCAGTCTTAAAATGTGTGACTTGAATAGAAAAAGATGATGTAAATTGTTTCATAATTTTCTGAATAAGTCTGGCTGCTTTATTGTTCTAACGTTGTAGTAGCATATGTTTTAATCTACTTCTAGGCTCTTCTAGTAATCAGAAAAACTTCAGACAGACGGTGTTCTAGTTAAACCATGTGCTGTAAACTGAGACAATTAATCCTTTGATCATGGGATTAAGCACTTGTGTTAGAATTGGGGTTTACTTAAGACCTTTTGCTTCAGATGTTCATGCTCTGGCCTGTCCCCTCCTTGCACATAAAATGATTTAATGTCTGTAGCAGTGCTATACAGTTGCCTATGGTAACTTGGTACCTTATGGTAGCATCAGAAGGCCAGCCTCAGAGCCTCTCTGAGTGCAGTGCTACAGAAGGGTCCCTACAGTGAGGTGCAGGGCAAAGGAGAGTAATCCACTGAGAAGCTGCACTGACATCTAGGGTCTCTTTTCATGGAGTTGGACAGTGCAGAGTGAGTATAGGATTCAGAGCAAATTCTGACTGAGGTAAGGTACAGAGGTCTGGTGATGATCTGTCTGCTCATGCTGGCAAGAGCCAGTGTCCTGGCAAAGATAATACTGGTACAGTCATTAGCTTGTAAATTATTTTCCCCTGCACATGAAGGGGTTTAATAGCAGTGACACCAGCGAGTTGTATGCTGTGATAGCTTCCAAAGAGCCAGAACACTGTATCTTCTGTATGCAAGGAAAGGTAAAATAGTAACTACTATCTAATAGTTGTTACAGACCCTTCCCAGTTTGGACCTACTCCTGATTTTAGTGTTCACGGGTAAGACAGTTGATTTTATTGCAGAGGGGCCTCTTCCTGGTAGCACACACTGGCTTAGGGTCAGTCCCTTTTTGAGTTCCTCAATGACTTTTAAATCTTCTTTCTTCCCAAACATTTTTATTTTCTTTATTATCTTTATTATCTGGTCTGTAATCTGATTCTTCATCTTAATTAAGATTTTTTTTTTCCACTTCTTTGGAGATGTGTCATTATTAGACCAGATGTCATCTCCTGTACTAACCTAATTAACAACTCTGTGCAGTAGTGAAAAATAATAAATCTGTTTCTTCCCCATTGGTAACATATTATGCATGTTTTGGCATGAATTGTTTCCTCCATTGAACTTTCATGTTTTATACCACCAAACATATGGAGACAGAATACCTAAGCTTTCTCATCTGTAGTGGGGCAGGGAAATATGCAGCTTCCCCTAAGTTCATTCCTTCTTGGATAGTAAAAATATCCCAAAATGGGTTAAACGTTGGTATGCTCAGACAAGGTTAAAATCTTCTTATGTGTTCTTACTCTTCAATACAGGGAATATGAAGGGAAAGCAGCCAGCACTTCTGGAGGCTGTGCCTTGCCTTCTGCAGAAGTAAACAACAACAAAAATTTTCCATTTGGTTGCTCTCCAGGCTTTTCAGAAGGTGGAATCAGGTGGAAATCAAAATATCATTTAAACTTTTCATTTGAAAAACTAATGGGCAATTGGAGGGGGGTTGCTGGACTCAGTAGATGAATATGTAGGTGCGTGAATTTCAGAGGGATGTTTCATCCCAACATTAGCAAATGGTGCAGTGAAGGAAATCTGTCTGACTGGGGTTGCTGATATGAGTTTTTCAGCACCTCTGGACACTGTGATCTAACTTTCTAGTAAATATGTTATTGCCTGCCACTGATAATATGATTGCCATGTTCTAGGATGAGCTATTAACTTCTGAAACAATTAAAAACAAAATCCAGATTAAAAAGTAAAAAATGCTGTTGTTTAGTTGTTCTTAATGTTTGTTCTCTAATCAAACAGCTCTTGAGAAATATCTTGTTGCTATCAGAAGAGATTTTTACCTGTGACATCTTACTGAGCTGACAGGCAAGATGTGGAAAGCACTGTACTAATAAAGGGAATAATCTATATCTGGGGACAGATCACTGAGCAAACATGGTGCTAGAAGAGATTTGAAAGCCTCCACGCAATCTCTATGGCAACAATCAAGTTTATGTACTTATTTTATTTTTTTGGTCCTTGGATGAGTGGTTAAAGGATTCATTTTGCTTTTCATCTGACTCCCAATGCACACTTCTGTTATCATATATATATGTTTTCTAAAACAGTTCCTGTTCTTTGCCATAGTGATGGGATTGTACACACTAGTGTAGACAGGTCTGCAATTATGTTAGAGAAGGTATTTTTTTTATCTGAAGATGAGTTCTATTTATGTCCAGACTATTTACACAGCCGCACATAACTGTATTCAGGATAATGTTTCAGCACTTGCTGCATTTTGGCCCTTGAGTCAGTTCTACCTATTTTTCAGAATAAATGACAAGTAGTAAATGATGTCCAATGATGTAAGACTGGGAAACTTTGCAATTCCTGGTGTTCTGATCTGTAATGAAGTATACAAGGTGGGACTGTACCACTTCTCTGACTATTGAAGTCTGCCTGCCTTTTTGAAGAAACCTCTTGGCTTTGTGTCAGAGAACTATGTGGAGTCCTCTTTGAAGACAGTATGTGTTTTCTGAGCAAAAAATGGGCAAAATACTTTTTGTAGAAGTTGTGTTTGAGTTCCAAACTGTAGAGATGAATACCCTTTGGATTCTCTTGTGGGATGAGCATTTTGTAGTCTTATAAAAGGTATAAAATTATCAGATTGAATTATGAAGTCAGAAGAAGGAAGGTCTACGTTCATTATAAAAACTGGAATGGACACTCTAAAGCACCATGTTTTTGTTTTGAAGGTCAGCTACATCAATGGGATTAAAATTGTACATATATACATATATACATATATACATATATATATATATATATAAGGATTTCACTAATAAATTATCACTTCTTAACAATTTCCATGTTTTTAACTGAACTATTTATCAAAGCACTCAAGACTTTTCAGGGCAATAGAAGATTTGGTTTTTGTCTGTAAAATGTTAAATTGGGTAAATATTATTGAGAACTGATAGCCTGTCTGTTTTCTGTCCACTTCTGCTGAAGTTACAGAGGGTATAAAGTTTCTGATGGATTCTGGAACTCTTCTTGCTCTTGCTCTAAAAGATTGTTTGTTTTAAACTTTTCCTTCCCTGTTAGAAATGAGATAGTATGTTTGTCATGTTTATATGGATTTTCAGATTATGTTTGAACATGCTTTTTAAGCAATAGATATTATTTAGAATAGGAAGAAAAATATCGCTGCTAGTAGATGAGGGGGCATTTCAAGACAATTTCCTAGTCTTTTAAGTGTACTAGAAGCAACAGGAAAAACTAGTCAGAAATGTCTCCAAAATTAAGTAATCCCTAAGAGTCCACCTTGCTCTTTGAGAGCCCACCATACTGATTTAACAAAATGCTTCCTCCTTTATGGAAGGGC